GATACGGATACATGTATTGTTGTACCCCTATTATATACATATATGTACTTGTTCAATCCATCTATCTGTCCGCTTCTTCTTTTCAGGGTTTTTTTTTTCATTTGCTTGAAATAAAAATATTTATATCTAGAACACATCAATATTTTTGGATATATTTTGTGCACTGACAGAGGGTTTTCGAGGAGCCACCTACAACAGGTAAGGTATTAGTTGTTCACTTTAAACATTTTCCTTCTAGGCGAACAAAAGGGGTCAAAAAGTCAAACGCTGCTTTACTTTGTCAGTGTGTTGACAAAAGTTGTGTTTTGGTCACTGAGCATCAGTGTGTCAGAGTGAAAAAGTGTTTGCACATAAAACTGGTTTCTTACCTGGGTTTAATGGGTTCATCCCCCATCCGTACACACCTGTGGTGACAGAAACAAGAATGTTAATCTAATTCCTCTGGTGAATTCCCACTGTGAATAATGGTTAATCATTTGCATTACACAACAAATAAAAAGAAAAAATGGCAGTGCAAACAGCTAAGGAAAACAATGTTTCAGTGCATATTTGTGGTTTAGTCCGGGTTTGTCATTTATGGTGTGGTCAGAGTGGAAATCTACCAGACGGTAGCGGCGTCCAACGAGGTCGGAGGCCACCGAGATACAAGGGCTTCTCGGCTAAATATATTTACCCTTCATAAAACCGGCTGCCAAACTCAGGAGAGAAGGAGAAGTGTYGAGAAACTGCAAACACAGGCAGGGTGTAGCGCCGGTGTCACATTACCAGCTTTGTTACTAAAAGTTTGCTCTGTGGGAGAAAAGCAGGCAGGACTTTAGTTTCAGGTGCTTAGAAAAAACAAGGACAGGTAGGCGAAGCTCCACCCTTCAACCTGAAGGACTGGTTCAGCTCAAACACAKAACTGGGATGCTTTCCAAGCTGGAACATGTCAGAAGGCCATCACTTGTCAAAGRGAGACAGATTTCTTTTAAAGCTTGATATCTTTTTATGGAGGCAGCTGAAGAGAGTTCGATGGATGCCAATGAAACTACTGAATAAAATTTCAACACCCCTTTCTAAAAATGCAAGCACAGATGTGGCCATTTTGATMCAGTAARTGAAGCATAGAGCRYGGCGGTATGACCCAAATTTTATATCACGGTATTTTCAACAATTACACTGGTTTCACYYTATTTGACGGGWTTTTTTCTTCCTCACAGCTCAGCTGATAATAAAATGTACAAACTTTGCTTATTGACCTTTTCCTTTTACTGTACCTCTGTATCACTGTTTCCCTCCTCTTGTACGTCTTTTCTTCTTTGGTTGTAGACAGTAATCATGCATTTAGGTCCGATCGTAAAGGGTTGAGAAAAAAATCATTATCTGGTCTATCGTTGTGTTAATAAAACACGTTAACAAAATAAGGACGACTCACTTTGCACACCAGTACACTCCGCTACACTACAAAACTACTTCCCCAAGGCTTTTCACAATAGAAGCACGCTAGAGTCTCCATGCAATAACGTCTCCATTATAACTTAGCGCGTTAAATCTAACCGTGCACATCACTGAAGAGTTTTACTGTTCAGCGATGGTGAAAACAGGATGTCTTTTTTACGTCAGACCATATAAGCAGCTGAAACACACCACCCGTCACCAGTTGTCCCAACAATAACGTTAGCATGCTAAGCGCTTAGCGGTGCTGCAACGAAATGTGTCCCCAGGGAAACGGCTCACTGGCGGCCGTGACGAAACGTTCCGCACGTGTTCAGCCTATTTACACCGGTATTCAGA